AAATTACCGAACCAGCCGAAGATGTCAATCGAGTAACACATTAAAGAATACAGTTGTTTATTATTTAGGAAATATTACATATATCAGAATTTTGCTCAAAGATACATATCATGTTATTCGACGATTTACATTCGACCAACAGGGTATTGATGATTACCTTTATATCATCATGTTATTATATTTAGTTGAATCGGGAGATTTGGACACCGCTACCCTCGAGGAAGAGAGTTGCCAGACTGTAACGGGTAATCCTAATTGCGCTCCAGCGAAAAGGGTAAGATTTACCATGAATTACTTAATATAATGTATTCCTCGCATTTTGAATTACTTTAAGCTCAACATTATTATGTGTAACCATTTCTTAAGCTACAGGTAGGGTTGGACGTGCCCCACTCATCTCACTGAGTAGTCAGAATGTAGACAAATCCAGAAAAGGCCAGAAAGGTGAGAAAATGAGAAGAGGAAAGGACGAGAAAAGAAAAGGCATAGACTATCTTCCGCACCATACCCATATCAGCAGGCTTGTTAAGCTACCACACAAAACAAAAAACGATATAATAAAAAAAATGATGACGTCTAACGAGAAAAAAATAAAGGTACAATTTTTTTCATAATAATGTATTATCATAATGTGTAACGATCGGTAGCGCTCAACGTCATATCACGAATATTATAGTCCCTCCCGAGGCTGAGCCTTATTAAGAATCTTTAGCTGACCAGTTGGTAGCTCTCCTAGGATCTTTCCCTTGTTCATGCACTCTGTATCATTATTATTGCTATATTTCAAGCGCAGACCCTCATGTTTTCGTGCAACAGTTAATACTCTGCTGATTAACTATATGTCGTTTTCATGTGTGTTATTTTTACCCTTTTATTACAAGGCATCGGCGGAGTAACTGGTAACGTCTAGTGGAACTTGTGAAACAACACATCGTCGTCGTACAATCAACGTCACTCTCATTTCATCCATGACAACGGAAGCTCATCAATACTGTGACAGCCACCAACCTCCCTACCCCCTCCCCACCCTCTCACAAAATGAAATGGAACCTCTTATTACCCATCATTTGAAAGATGTGTTTTGACTAATACTAATAAATAATAAATAATAGTGAACATTTATAATGCGCCATGTCTGTCAAAAATGACACTTCTGGCGCAGTTGTATGGAAAATGTATTGTGGGCATACGACCATCAAGTAATTCAAGAAAGAAAGTAAAATACACATAAGTTAAAGTTTAACATACTTCAGGACATAATTTGCAATAATAGAATAATACAATACAAAGCATATTACAGTAATAGAAGTTATATGAGGGTAGTACAATGCAAGACATTATTTTAAAAAAATTGCCGGGAAAACTGCCTACTAATAGATATATTTGGTAAATTATCATATCGATCCGGACTGGATAAATTAATTAATTATTAATTAATCAATTAACCCTAAAAAGGCCGGGCTATTTGAGGTCTTACTACGGCCGCGGGGGGGGGGGGGGGGCATTATGCCCCCCCCCCCCCTTAAGATCTCGGCCGCAAAGCGGCCGATCGCCGCGAAAATTTGCACGCATGTCAAGTGAAGTGTATAGAATAATATGATAATTTTAATTTTTTTTTAAATTTACTCATTTGCATATTTATGGTAATTTATGCAAATAAAGTCATAAAAATCACATTTTTACCCATAAATCATATATTATTCATATTTAAGCATTCTTTTTCACTACATATATTCATTAGACCATTCTGAATAATAATACGCCAAATTTTTTTTGGAAGAGTCAGCTTATTCCTTATGTTATCCCTTGTTTTGATAATATGTATTTCATTGTTTTTTAACTTATGTATTTCATTGTTTTTTTTGTTTTTTTTTCTTCATTTCATTCTTACTACAATTCAACTATTTTGACTCCAAAAACAACCACCTAAACTTTAAACAAGACCCAATAACCCATGTTTGATCTGTTTTTAGGAAAAATGACTTTTCCATATGTTTTGTACACAAATCACGAAAATGAGCGATTTTCGGGCTGACATGCAAAGACAAAAGGTCACGTGACCTTGTAACCGTAGGTCCGATTTTCAAAAAAACTATTTAAAAAGTTGCGCAAGACTCGAAATAACAAAATCAGCGAGCGGCGGGGCGCCACCCATATGCATTCCCGAGCAATCGGAAAAATTGTGGAGTGGGGGGGGGGCCATAATGGCCCCCGGCCTTATTAGGGTTAATACTATTATTAATTAATGTTATTAATTTATACTAATATATAAATGATATACAACCCTCTCTGTGTACTAATTATTATTCCAGTTAGATAGTGATATCAATTTTGATTACATAATTGCGGTGATAAATAAAGTGTGTTTACACAAGTAATATAATTATGTGCTTTGTACTCTTCATTTATGTTTTATGCTACAGACACTGTTATAGTAAAACGTAAAGTCCACAGTCACCCCCCTCCCCTTCCAGAAAAAGCCCCACCCCCTCTGAAAAAAAATCAGCTCTAAAGGAGTAAAAATTATCCTATATTTCAACTAAAAAGAAAACAAATAATGAACATGAATTGAATCAAAACAAAAATTAATATTCCATTTAAATAAAAGAAACAGTTATTAAATTTCCCAAACATGCCGTATGCCCCTATAATTATCAACGGTGGATTTGGTAATAGCGATACGTGTCTATTGTGGAAATATTGTGAGAGGTGGGAAATCGTGTGTGTTTGTATTATATGAGTGAGAAGAAATGAGCCCCCCCCCAAAAAAAAAAAAATAAATAAATAAATAAATAAATAAATAAATAAAAATAAATAAGTAAAATAAATAGATAAATAATAACAAATTAAATAAAAAATTAAAATTAAAAAAATTAAAAAAAATCGAACCTGGATTATTTCTAATTCGATTCCTCCTGTGATCTACAAATGTTGCTAAAATGACATGATTTTCAAGGATTTTTCCCTAATATTTGTTATAAATTATAATTGTATACGAGATTGTTGGAAAAACTACAACTTCCAAAATTTACAGTCGGGCAAAAATATGCTCATTAGAAGCCTTCATGTCAGGGCCTTAAGGTGGGTCCCTGGATGCTCACCTGGCCGTAATTAAAAAGAAATAAAAAACCCTGGTCTTCCAGGGGCTCTGTCGCTGGACCCCACCAATGACCTTAAGATGGGCCCCTGGATGTTCATCTGAGCGTTATCAAAAGACTAAAACCTAGAGTTACATGTGGCTCAGCCCCCTGGACCACACGCCAATTAGTGACATACCAGTGTCACAAATAAGGTATCAAAATATGCTTATCTCATTGACCGTAATCAAATGCCTAAAACCCTTGAGACCGCGGGAGCTCCGCCCCCCTTGACCCAACCACGGTCAATAAGACGGCCCCTGAATTTTCATCTGATCATAATTAAATTCCTAAAACTCCTGGGCTTCAAAAAGCTAAGCCCCCCTGGATTCCAAGACAGGAAAAGGGGCGCTGATCAGATAATAGGGGCATTTATTGGAGGTGAAAGGGGGCTTTCATGAGATGGGGGAAGTGGCTCTTATTAAAAAGCAAAAGAGGCACATGTTAAAATAAACGGGGCACTTATCAAAGATGAAAAGGGGAAATTATGAAAAAAGGAAGGGGCACTTATCAAAGTAAAACGAGTATCTCTCATAATTGAATAGGGTCATTTACAAGAGATGAAAAGGGGCATTTATAAAAAGAGAAAGGGGTTCTTTTTTAAATGGGGGCATTTATAATAATGAAAAGAGGCACTTAGTAAACAAAAAGGAAAGGGGATACATGTAAAAATAAAGGGTAAAAAGGGGTAGTTATGGAAAGGGGGAAGGGACACTTTTTACAAAGGAAAATGAGAACTTGTCAAAGCAAAAGCGGAACCTCTTAGATTTGATTAGGGCAATTATCAGAGGTGGAGGGGGCGCTTGTTAAAAGTGAAGAGCCGCCTACTCTTTCATTATGTTCGGTTCATCTTGATACAATTATTAAATCATTTAGACCACGTGACCCATTAAATGTTTTATGTTTCATGTTGTATTAGACCTAGGAAAGGTGGCACAGATCGGGATCAAAATTCTGTAAGTTAAATTTGGTTTAAATCTTTGTCCAACATCTATAAACAATACCTTTGATTTCTTATCATAGATTAAGATGATGAAGATTGTGCAGTAGAAAATTAAAAATAACAGATATATTTCATCAAAAGCAGCATATTAGAAGTAATTTTAAAAGCGTTAATTTGTATATATATATATATATATATATATATATATATAAACTGATATATAAACTGATATAATCAAGTTGTTAAGGTATCGATGAGTGGTAGCCATTAAGAGAACACAAGTCATAATCAATTTTGTTAAGAGCTTCAATTGGAAAATAGGACCGTCGGTAATTACCTATATATTGTATAGAATCAATACTGGATTACTCTGTAGCGCCCTTACCTAATAGTTTATTAATTATAATAATACAATGCGTATCAAAGTAAAAGTCTACACCACTTTAATAGCTCCTAATTAAACGTTCATAACCAATATGACTTTAAAATCTATTTCATGATGAAGAATAACTTAGTCTCTGTTCAATGATATCATATTCATAATATTTTCGATAAGCCTGCTGCTCATTCATCCGTGGCAGCCCAATTATGAATATGCATCATTCGACAGGGTTTTAGTTACCCAAAATCAGGATACATGATTCAAGGTCACAAAGGTTATACTCTCTTTGATTAGAAGCTACCATAGTTGTATACACTTTTTTTGAAACGCACTGTACACATATTTCATATGGAATCAAAACGTGTACATCTAAGTCATCTTCGGCATAGATGGATGATGATATGAAATATACATGACCGCTTTTGCCAGGCACTGTCGAACATTAGAAGAGTCACGTGATGGAGTGACGTGTGCAATACGCATATTTTTTTGTTATACCAGACCAACGGAATATGGTTTGCATCGAGGGTTTGATGTGTACTAACCATATCGAGTTGTGGTGAAGCACTGGTCTGTACAGACGATACGCCAAAGGGAAGGATTGTGAGAGCATTCAAGGTTAGGTGATATTTTATCACGGATTCGACCTATAAGACGGTTTTGCATTGACTTGGCGTTCTCCCAAGAGGTAAGAAATATAGTGATATCGATAATAATAATATGCATTCATATAGTGCCGTCTATCTAGAAATTCTATTCCGAGGCGCAATATGTCATTATTACCCCGGTTTCAGCGTAGCTGCCATTACAGCGCTCTAGCATGTCAAGAAATTAATTCCTGCCAGGTACCCATCACCTGGGACAAGTTTGTGACACATGTAGATTAATACCTTGTCAAAGGAAATTAGTGCCGTGTCGGGCATCGAACCACGAGTAGTAGTAAATTTCTGACCGGTAGATTTCCATTTACAGGACGATTTTGGAGTGTTAAGCTCACTGAGAATTGGCAGATCTGACTGCCATTAGATTGTTGAGAGAAAGTCGAGATTGCATTAATAGGAATTTATGCAAACATAATCATTCTGGTTGAGATTCTTATCAATGCTAATCCAAATAATCACATTATACGTGGATTTTAATCCTACTGGCCGAAGTAATGGCCAAGTCTGCTTCAAATTGGAGATGGTCGCACGACAGTCTTCAGTGTATACGACTTGAAGTGAGAGTACCACAAAGACGGTTTAAGTATTTCGATATTTCGATTTGATGCATCATGTAGTAACTTAGAGTGTGTGCTTGTTATTTTACCTGACTGCTAAGAGAGCATAAATGCTTGTTAGTACACGACCAGAGGACCGACTGCTTTAGGTCCTCTCCGAGGGACCTGATAATGAGGATTAGTGCCTTACCAAAGGTTTCGAACCCGGGTCGCCGGAATACGAGACCACTGCTCTACCAACTGAGCTATCGCGCCTCCTCAACCATAATCTGCCTGAAAAATCACATTAAATGCCACTGCAATTTTAGTCAAAATTTGATCGCAGTCAGATCATCAAAATTAATGTCAGATAGGCTTTACCGTTGGAACATGTAAAATGATTTGTGTGACAATAGGCATGTGTGTCTTTTTTTCATTCGTGTACATTTGGCTTGTTGGCATGGAGCGTTACGGTTTATTGATTTTTGCAATACAAACACACACACACACGAACATGCAGCCTTTTAAATATTATACATTTATCTGTGGAATTGACATATTGCGTACAGTATTTGACTCATTTCAATAATTTTTCAGGGCATCAAATTAACACGTGCATAGCCCCGATTTCTGAAGCAAAGTAACATAATCATTATACTACTTGAAAAATACGTGGAGATGACTTTCGATCCAAGGGTAATATGGCGCATGGCTGGAATGTTCCTCAGGGAGTGAATAAATTATAATGTGCGGGAAAGTATCATAAAAATAATAATAACGATTATATTACTATTTTTTATCAGCCTCATTAGCATATTAATCTTAATTTCTCTTTGCCTATTTTACACGGACCAGGTGCCAATTGCTTTTATTCTATATGTTGCAGTTTTGTTTGTGAATTCAATATGTATCAGCTATAAGCTGTGGCTCTGAATTGTTATCAATTAATTCAATTCAATAATCAGCAATTACAGTAGTAGGTCTAGTAGTTGTGATTTCATTATGATCCTTATTACCATGATTTTCTTTTGCAATACGTGATGTGCCCAGGATCTATTGTTATACTACATCCCAAACATCTACCAAATCTCTCAATCAACTGCTGAAATATTATCAAGAGAAAAGAAGAAACATAATAGAAGATTATTTTCAAAATAAAGTAAAATATAAAGAAGAATAAAGTAGACACTATAATCATGACAATATACAATATGTCAAAAATGAATGCCTTTAAGATTACCCTTATTTGCATCTTGCTCATGTTTTGCTTGTTTTTGTTTTGGTACGGGAGGAATAACATAAACACAAAATTAACCTGTTTATATGATCGCATTATGTCTTATTCATTCTGTTTTTTTTAAATTGTTTTCTGACTGTTTTTAAGACGATATTATTTTTTTCGTTCATAGTTTTGTCTAGCTTTATATCTCGTTTTAATTGTTAAAACCATTTTGCGACGATTGTTGCTCATTTTTAGCAGAAATCGTTGGCCATTGCAGCTCTGTTGTACAATCATTATCATTAAGTAACGATTTACTCTTTCAAGACTCATACAATTTCGGTTGATTTTAATCTGCGGGGGATCCAACAGAAATAAAGAGAGAGAGAGAGAGGGGGAGAGGGAAAGAGAGAGAGAGTGAAAGAGAAAGAGAGAGAAAGAGAGGAAGAGAAAGAGAGAGGAAGAAATAAAGAGAGAAAGAGAGAAAGAGAAAGAGAGAGAAAGAAAACAAAAAAGAGAAAGAGACAAAGAGAAAGAGAGAGAAAGAAAACAAAAAAGAGAGAGAGAGAAAGAGAGAGAGAGAGGTGGGGGGAGTGAGAGAGAAAGAAAGTGAGAAAGAGAGAAAGAGAAAGAAAAAGAGAGAGAAAGAGAGAAATAGAAAGAGAGAGAGAGAGAGAGAGCGCGAGGGGTGCACATTCCCACGATTTTGATTTGTGGTCTTATTTGATTAACACCTCTCATAATGATAATAATAGTGGGTTCTTGTATAGCGCTCGTGCCTGTCAGACTTGACCCTCCTGATGCCCCACATTATTAACCTGGCTTTAGCATGGCTGATATTATGGCGCTCTAGCATTTCAAGGAATTTATTCCTGTCAGTTACCCATTTACTTCACCTGGGTCGAGATTGGCAAATGTAGATTAATGTCATGCCAAAGGACATTAGTGCCGATTTGTTTGCATTCTCGCAAACAATGCCTCCTGTTCATCCAACCGTGGACACATACCACACAAAATGCTATCAAACGATTCGGGATATAACACTCTTTCAAAATATGTATGATAACCTTTCGTTCATAGCTGAATTAAAAAATAAATGACAATATTCTGAGTGTATACTTTTTGTTTACTCACAAGGTATGTTATAATGAAAGATTACAGAAGATTATGCGTACTAGTGTCACTGATCATCACTCTAGATATGACGTCACGTTCACACTTATCACCAACAGTCTTGAGTCTATGTGTATCTGTATGACCTCTCATCCCAATTTCCATTGCTTCAAAAAAGACGAAATAATCTGTATCTTTCTAGTCTCCTTCAACTTGTCATACAGTTCCAACTTTTCTTTTACATGTTTTGTGTGCGTCTTGCATATTTCTTCCAAATTGAACAGTGAGTTCCGTTATTAGTTTCCTTATTAATGATTGATTGATTGATTGATTGATTTTTATTCGACAAGCTTCCAACATACAACAATATACAATAATAACAGATCAAAAAAAGTCAGCTTGAACAGGATAACCCACGAAAGCTCGAGAGCTTATTTCCAGTGGGGTCCCTTACAGACATGTAACAAATTAATAAGTTAAAATAGTAATATTTACAGACAGATAAGAAAATTAAAAGAACTACTTATTAAAGATAATAATAATAACAACATTAAACTGATGATAGAAATGATATTAAGTACAAGAAGAAAAAGAAGAAGGAGAAGAAGAAAAAGAGGAGAAGGAAGAAGAGGAAAATAATGATGAATTTGTAGAATTTCTATAACGTACGAAAACATAAGTATATACAACATGAAAAAGTATGAACCGACAGAAGAATAAAAATTTCAATCATATAACATGTCATTCACTTCTCTTCTCTGACTGTCAAGTATTAGGTATTCCTTTAATTTCCTCTTAAAATGATCATAGTTTCCTATTTCTTTTACACCATTGGGAAGGGAATTCCAATGTTTTATGGCATTGTAATAAAACGAATTTCCAATACTACCTACTCTTTCAGGTAAGTTAAAGTTGAATCGTCTATTTCTTGTATTATAATCATGTACGTCAGTAACAAGATCGAAGTTGGATCGAATATAATGATTCGACCTAGTATGATATATTTTATGCACATGATGCAATACGAGTTGTTTTGATCTTTGGTCGACTTCAAGAAAACCAGCTTTAGAAAGTTCGCTGTAGCCAACATGAGTTCTTGGACCAGAACAGTTGATAAATCTCACCATTTTGTTCTGTATAATCTTCAACTTCTTTTGATCTGACTTGTTTATGTTACTATACCATGCAGGGTTAGCATAGTCAAATAAACATTGAATAAGAGCAAAACAGAGTGTACGTCTTGCTTTTAAATCCATACAACTTTGATATCTGTACAAAAATTTCAGACGAGAATTTGCTTTTTTTACAACTGATTCTACTAAAGATGAAAATGAAATTGCGCTAGCCAACTCAATGCCTAAATACTTCACAGACTCTTTTCTCTTGATTGCTTGATTATTGTGTGTCACTTTGAATTCAAATGACTTTTTAGAACTACTTTTAGAACAAAATAAAATGCTTTCTGTTTTTCCCAAGTGTAAAGAAAGCTTATTATCAGTCATCCAATCGACACACGTAGACAGCTGTTCACTGAGCTTTTCCTCAATATATTTAGGATCAGGATTTGAATAGAGTAGTACGCTGTCATCTGCGTACAATAATAGTTTGAAGTCTTTTATACAAATACACATATCATTTATATAACTTGAAAATAGAATTGGGCCTAAAATGCTTCCCTGAGGAACACCGCAAGTTATAGGCATTAGTTTGGAACGAATATCATGAATGGCCACTACTTGGTGCCGATTAGATAAGTAGGATCTAAACCAATTTAAACTTGCCTTATCAAAACCCATTAGTTGTAACTTCTTCAATAAGACGCAATGATTAACTGTATCAAAAGCTTCCATTAATTGGAATAACAGGAGAGTAGAATAAAATAGAATCTTCGATATCATATTTTATTCTTGCATGATGACTTTGAAGAATCCCGAAAATTTACTTTAAATCCAATCTTTTGAAAATATCGGCACTGAAAGTCTTTAATGCTGAATTGTAATAAACCTGTTTTCACTGGATATTTTAAATTCGTTTTTGTAAGATGGGAAATTCTTATTAATGATTATTGCAATTCATTTTGGTGGGTTATCAATAAATACAAAATAAAAACGTAGATGGTGAAAATGTTCTTTAAAAATTCTATGATGAAATTACATCT